AGTCAAAACCCTAGATTGCACTACAGTCAACTGTAGGGGCAAAATGGTCATTTGACAGTCAAAAGTTCAAATTTTTGGTCAACCTATCATTTTGAAGCCACAAACATCATTTGATCAATGCTTGATCATGATTCTCAAAATTTGGCTCAGAAATCATCAAAGATGCAAAAGTTGCTATATTTGGACAGCTGAAAAAGTCAACTGAAATTGACCAGGGCATAACTTTCACATGGATTATCAGAAAAATTCCATACAAAGCTCATTTTGAAGAGAAAGACATTTCCTACAATTCATCTTCATGTTCCAAGTCCAAGAAATGCTCTCACAAAAAGTTATCAATTTCAACATTATAGGTCATTTTCAAAAGTCAACAAAAAGGGACTTTAAGTCAAAGACCATAACTTGAGATTGGTAAATCAAAATGACATGGGACCAAAGGCATTGGTTAAAGGACTCAAAGACCTTTCCAAAATGTCCAAGAACATGTGAAAAGCTTAAAAATTGACCAAGTTATGCCTTGTGGAAGTTGGGAAATTTTTGGAAATTTTTGAAAGTCAACATTACTTCAAAAGGCCTAAATTTGCTATTGGGCCCATTTTTCTTCCAAGTTTCTTCATGCCAAGCCTATGCACGACCATTAGACCCAAAGGGAAGTATTTTCTCATTTTTTAATTATTTATTTGAATTTATATTAATATTAATTCATTTAAATTAATTAAATACATGAAAAATATCAAACTTGACCTAAAAAAATCTTTTCATGCATGTTTATTCTCAATATCACGTGCATATCCCAATTAGGTAAGTTTTGATGAGATTTGAGCTGATTGAACACAAAAACCATGAAAAAAGATTTGGAAAAGATATGAAGAAATCAAATATGTGAAATCATCAATGCAATGGATTTTGTCTAGTTTTCTTGACCTAAATCGTTCTATACATACTCAGAATCATAACCCTAATGGCCTTACACTCTAAGCTGCGCAGAAAATCAATATACAAACTTGCAAAAATTCTCAAAAAGCTCAAATCTGAAATCAGGGTTCTAGGTCGATTCAAGCTCCAATTCTTGTCCTATCATCATCCTGAGACATCATTGAACGATTCTCAATCACTAACATCAACCAAAACGCCCTGAATTGGTACCCCTAAGTCAAACTGCACCTCAAAACTTTTGAAATCGTATAGCATGATTCAAGCATATTTTTGCATTTTTATTTATGTATTCATATTCATAATGATGTTTCTAAGCTGACCAATGCATTTAATTGCATTTTTGTGCCATATATATGAATCTGCCATGATCGTCCTCTAGGGTTTACAGGTTTGCTAATTTGGGGTTTTTGAGACAAAGCAAAATTGGGGTTCAAGACCATTGCCATTGCCTTTAGCACATCCAAACGAAAAGATTCCAACCCTCGCGCTCAATTTATGAGCGTCGAGGGCCTGTTCGCTATTTTCTGTTAGATGGTATTAGGCAATGTTTGCCAAACCGTGGCCTTTGAGTTTTGTTTTACAGGGACGTGAAGACGATGGTGTCGTGTCACACGGGGACAGGCCAATTCAAATTTGCGCGCGTTTTAACCATTATGCGTTGGTTTTGATTTTTGTTGTTTATTAACCATAATATATTAAATGAAACATAATGGCTCAGTGGCAGGGATACGTGTTGGTAACATCAAAGACCTGGGTTCAAGTCCCAGGTCTGGCAAATGCTCAATATTATTTTTCAATAGTTAATCCTATGCAGCGCTAATGTCCCAGTATACCATACGCTCACCCTCTCAAGCCACACACGCGTCCATCTCACCCAGACCAAGGGCCAAGATTCAAGGCGCAGCATACACCTGGTCAAACGCACCATACGTGATTCCCAAAGTCAACGGATTCAAGCAAATGGGCCTTAACCTTCCAGGCCTGAACCTCCTAGATTGGGGCCACACCCCCCCCCTGGTTTGCATTTTCTTATTTATGTTTATATCTTTTTTTTTAATTGCAATTTTATTTAATTTGTCATCTCAATTTAATTAATTAATTCTTTTACAAAAAATATAAAAACATTCAAAAATTCAGAAAAGACCAAAAAATAATATTTACTTTATTATAATTATTTTCTTAGCATGTAAATAAATTAATTTCAAATTAGGTTTAATTTACATTTTTTTTCATAACTAAAATCCAAAAAAATAGAGTTTAGGTTTAATAACTTTTTATTTTCTTTTTAATTTTTCCCTTTTTTTAGAATAATAATATTAGTTATTTATTTTCATAAATTAAAAATTGTACATAAAAAAATTAGGGTTTAATGTAGATTATATTTTAATCCTTTCATAATAAATAAAAATATTAGAATTAGGGTTTGCCTTTTAATCTAATTTCAATTAACTCCTTTTTCTCATTAAATCTAAAAAACACAAAATTACCATTTTCATTTAATTTTAATTTTAAATTCCTTGTTAATTTTAATTGTTTGTAAAAGGGTCCAACGCCCATTGTTTAAATTATTTTAATTTGCGCATTTATCTTATGTCATATAATTTTGTATCTCTCCCAAAGCATTGTAATTTTAACTTTTCGCACTTTATCTTTCCGCTTTATTTATTTTCCGCCAAATCGGGTCCGGTTTAATTTTGGCGGTGTGGACCCGCGCCATTTGTAATAGCCTTAGATTTATTTTCCCGCAACTTATCACTGTTAAATATACATGCAAGAATGAATGTCTTAATTAAAATCAAGCGTAGAACACAACAAACATGACAAGACAAATAACTGAAACATGACACACGAATCGCACACACCACCCCTAGGGTACGCCTCACTGTTGCCTTTCGAAAGGTGATCGTCGAGTAGAGGACGTCTTAGTAAGTCCTCATGATCCGGGAACCTGGCATGAGGGTAGCTTCTAAGGTGTCTTCCCATTGCTCTGGTGATCACCATGTCCCTACAAACTCGAATTGACCCGAACACCTCCAACGGTGGTACTACCTACCTCTCAATGGTGGGATGGCACTACTTTAAAGGACTCTTACACAGACGAATTCCTTAGGGTAGGTAGGTTCTCAAAGATACTTGCTCTAATTTCAAACAAACAAAAATACTTTTCACACCAACACATTTTCAAAAGCTTTCAAAGCAAACTTTTCAAACACTCTGACGTACGAGTCGAACTGAAAATTTTCAAAGAAACTTTTTAAACCCACATTGAAAAGCAAACAAACAATTTTGAAAACACATTGAGCAAGTACCTAAGAGCCCATGGATAACCATGGATAGAAAGGGTGCTAACACCTTCCCTTTCTATAACCTACCTCCCGAACCGAGAGCAATCTCTTTTAAGGAATTTTTCTGTGCTTTTGTCCTTTCCATTTGGAGAAAATAAAAGACGGTGGCGACTCTTGCTTCCGCGACATTTCGCGAACCAGCGTTAAACAGTCAGTTCCAGATCCACCGATCACACATGTGGATTGCAAAGGTCAGCACTTGCTTAGCTAAAGGAATAATTTTATAAACTATAATAGCCAATTGTATTTTCTATTATGAGCTCGTGTAAGTTTGTTAGAAAAAATTGTTAGCTATTAGATACTATATCCATGAAAGAAGTAATAAAAAACATAATATTCAAGTCCCCAGTGTTAGCATTCATAACATAGCAATTACAAATTTAGAAACCATCTTTGTTCATTTTCTCAATCTCATACCTTTTCGTTTCCCTTCTAGGGAGCTCGAGCATACTCGAGTGTTATCATACTTTCGAGGCAAATTTGATCATTGTTTTTCATTTACATGTTTTCCTTCGTTTCGAGATGTTAATTTGCCTAATGGTCGAGAACATAGTGGTATTGAGGTTAATGAGTATCTCAAAAGGATAACTATTTTTCAAAAGGACCGATAATGTCTTATACTGCATGTCGATGCCGCTCAGTATTTTTGGGTGAAGACCAAATTGGTGGGAATGGTCTTCCCCTTAGTGAAGCTCAAAGTTTAGAAGATGTTGTAGAACCATCTTCTGATTGGTTTGTCTCTCTCGTCAACCTCAACAAGAAGGTGTGTAGCTATTTTGACGGATGTTCAATGTCTTTTTATGAATGTATGTTCTCCATATTCAAGTTTAAATTACCTCTTAATGGTTTTCAGGTCGAAGTATTAAATGACATGATAATTGCACCATTCCAGTTGCACCTAATAGCTTGGACCTTTATAAAGGCATTCCATTAATTATGAGTACATCGAGGAGGAGTGTCAACTTTGAGATTAATTAATCTATGTGACCTATAAAATATTTGAATAATTTATGTAGTAATATGTGACACTATCTATTATGTTATCAGTAGTATGTGATACTTTACTATTTACTTAATCTTTTATAATTCGTGGCATTTTCAATTTCCCTTAATACATTATGTATATTTCCTTATTAAAAACTTGAAATCTATCTTGTATTAAGTTATTTTACAATTGTTTAACCTTCATTCGATTAAGGGTACTTCGACTAATTTAAAAATATATATTGTTTCATAATTATTAATATTTCATTTTATTAATGTTTTATATAATCCGTAATTATGAATGTTTTTGTCAATGTATAATTGTTTTACTCACATTCAATAATATATTGACATTATTGGGTTTGAAAATACATAAATCATAATAACTTCACACTACAGTGCACTTTATAAAAATCAAGCCTTTATTTCTGTGATTTTTTTTTTTTGTAAAGAATTTAGAAGTAAAACTTACATATTTGTTAGTGTTATTATTAGAGAGAAGTCTTATACTTTTCAGCCAATAAAAAGAAGAAAATTATAATGGGGTGTTGCGAGAATCGAACTCACGACCTCTTGCACCCGAAGCAAGAATCATACCACTAGACCAAACACCCGTGCTGGCGTAAATAATCAACAATTTATTATATAATTGATAGTTGTTTTCTTTTTCATAGTATTTATTATCATAATTTTTCAATTCTAGTTCTAGTTTCACAAAACTTAATCCAAACAGACATGACGGCAGCAGCAACCGCATCCTCTCACCTCCTCCCCGTTCTTCGTTCACAGCCGCCGTCACCGTCGTCTTCTTCCTCTTTCATTTCATTTCTCAAACCTTTCTTTCTTCCTTCTTCCAATATTACCCTTCGACGACTTCAATGTCATCATGCACCTCTTCTCAAAACCCTTCCACACTCTTTCTTATCCACACCCTCTTTTTCTTCCCGCGCTTTTTCCTACACCCCTCCCCTCTCCGCTGTAGTTGGAGCTTCATCTCCAAATTCCACAGAAGATGCATCGGAAGAAGAAGAAGAATATGATGAAGAATCTAGTTTCACTGAAAGTGACAATGTTGAAGATACGCAAGTGGTGGATTCGACTTCGTTGCCGTTGGTGGGAAAGAGGGAAGAGAGATTGAATTTGGAGGTGCCGAGTTTGAGTGTGAAAGAAAGGAAAGAACTTGCGTCTTATGCACATGGTTTGGGGAAAAAGCTTAATACACAGTTGGTGGGTAAATCTGGTGTTACGCCCAATCTTGTTACGGCTTTCACTGATAACCTTGAAGCTAACGAACTTCTCAAGGTAATGGTTGTTATGTTATTTGAGAATTTGTGTTCTGAAAAATGTTTATGTCTTCTGTTTGGTTTGTGTTTGATATGTTTTGCTAATACATGGGAAGAGGATTTTTAGTTGGTTGATGAATGTGTTCTTTAGGTTATTGTTTCATGTTATTTTGTTGTGCTTAAATTAAGATTAGTTGTTGTTTTAGGTTGTTTGTTCAACTTGGTATGCTCTCATGATCTTAAGCAAGATCTCAATTTTTACAACATTGGTTTCTATATCAAAATAGAATGAACTGAAATTGTTTGCGGATGAGCTATAAGCTGTTTTCATAAACTATTTTGGAGAGCTTACGAAAATAAGCTGAAAACAGTTTATGAACATGTCATAATCTGTTTACTTGCAATTTGGATGACATTTACAGATTAAAATACATGGGAGTTGTCCAGGTGAGTTAGATGATGTTATGAAGCAGTTGGAAGAAGCAACTGGCTCAGTGATCGTTGATCAGATTGGTCGAACCCTTATTTTATACAGGCCTAGTCTCTCCAAATTGAAGGTAGAAGAAAAGAGGAAACAAGTTCGGAAACTTTTTCTGGAAAAACAACATAAACGAAGACTACTAATTAACGGGGTAGGTTGTGGTTTTATTATTATCTTTGAAAAGCTCAAATTATTTTGATCCCTTCTTATGCTTCACTAATGTTCTTGTGAAACTGCAGGGTAATAAACAAGCACCCAAATCATCAAAGCGAGGTTCACCATGGAAAGCGAGAAGCAGTAGCTCATAAACAAGTTATCATTTTTTCAAGGTTCACCCAGGTGCTTGGCCTGAAAAGGATTTAGACTTTTCATGCTTATGTGCCAATATGTGGTTGTGAAATGCGGTTGCTTACCAGAGCTGGAGAGCATAAAGGCTTGAATTGTTTGGTTTGTTTTGTCAAATGTCGAATCAGTAGATTTTATTGCGATGAATGGATTGCATTTTGTTGGATATAGATCCTCTCTTGCTCTTTCTCTCATGTTGCTCTTTCTCTCATGTTTTATATACTGCTCCAATCTCAGTCATTCATGCATTAAATAATATTAGTGATTCTCTATAGGCTTATTTGGTCCTGAAGTCCCATAACTTAATTTAAGTTTTCAGTTTGATCCCTTATATAATAAACGTTACATCTAAGTACCATAAGGAAACTTCCGTTACACAGGTTGGTCCAATCCGTTAATTTTAGTGTGAAAATGTTTAAGTTATGTGATATGGCTTGCCAACAAGGCTTATATTGCATATATGATTCAACATATTGCATTATATATTTTATTTTTCAGTCTTCTTCATTTCTTTTCAGCTTCACGATTTAGGGCAAGGTATTTTGTTTTCCTTCCTCATTCCTCTCATCCATCAGTCTTCTATTTCATCTTTGTTCACGTTATCCTTTTCCCACGGTTTAGGGCAAAGTTTCTTCTACTTCATCTTTGTTCACGTAAACGATTTCTACGAAGCTTCCTTGAAGATGTCAATAAACTCCAGTAATTTCTCAAAATGAAACACCCAAAGTGGCGGGTCATTTGGTTGTGGTGATAAGAAACAAAAGAATGAATTGTTGGTGCCAAGAAGAGTGTGTGATGCGTACGGTTACATATCGGAATAGTGTCAATGTTGGGAAAAAGTTTTGGGGCTGGAGGAATTACAAGAATCAATTGGAGAAGGGATCCAGTTTTCTCAACTGGGTAGGTGATGAAGTTGTTGATGGAAGGGATTTGAAGATTGAAAGGTAAAGGAAGAAAATTTTGAAGTTGAAGAATGAGGTGTTGAGCATAAGAGGACTGTTGAAGAATGCAATAGTGTTAGCCATAATTAGTCTAGGTTTGTCTTTGTAACCCTGTATTTGAAATAGAGTTGTTGCCAATGTTGTGAAAGCATGTAAGATTCATGAATCTTTAATGAAAAGTTTGGTTTGCTATATCAGTATTTTGACAATTACTTCTGTTGTGTGTGATTGAATGAAACTTTTGAAAAAATTAGGGTCTGTAATGTTGCAGTTATATGTTGCATATAAACATAAGGGCCTGTAATGTTGCATATAACCATGACACAAATAGCCAAAGGATTTGCATTATAAAACCATGTGTTCTTTGACACTAATACAAAAGGACATAAAAGCTTAATAATATGTTCATTGACACAAAGCTATGAAAGGGCATAAAAGCCAAATGACGTGTTCATTGACACAAAGTAACAAAACAGCATAAAAAAAAGATAATTTTGTGTTCATTGACACTAATATACATAAGGGCATCAAAGCCTAATTCAAGTTGTAATTGCCACTAGATGAGTTGCTTCAGTCTGAGTTGTTTCAGGCTGGCTAGGATCATGTTGAATTGGTTCAAGTTGAGTGGTCTGAGCTGATTCAGGTTGAATAGTCTGACTTGGTGGTGGCAGTTTGCATGTTGATTTGTTGTGCCCCATTATGCGGCATCTACTGCACTTAATGTCAAAGTCTTCCCTCTTAAGTTGAATCTCATCCCTGATACTTTCAGATGTATCCCTAGTTCTCTTCTTTTTGGGTCTTTCTGGCTGCCTCTTGATAGGTGGTGGTTGTAATTCAACATAGTTTTTCTTCTCCCACAGATTCTCCCAATTGACTGGAAAAATAACAGATGCATAACATGCCTCATACACTGCTTTTTTGTAACAGTCAGGCACAAAGGTTTCAACATTCAGTTGTTGTGATTTCATGCGAGATATTGCATGACAACATGGTAAATCAGTCAACATCCATAGCCTACAAGAACACTTCTTGGTGGACAGATTCACAATATATTTTTCCCTATTATTTGAGGTGTGCCTCACCTCATAATCAAACTCACATGCACGCCTGTAAGAACACATCAACAGTTCAGTCACACAATTTAATGGATAATTTACACAACACACAATTATTTCAACAAATACCTCACAATCCATTTGTTTGTTTTGTTGGATTCTTTTGCAATCTTTTTCTTGATATTGGATAAAACATCGCCTTCATATTTAGCAATTTTTTTCCTGTTTGACTCCCACCTTAGCATGAGATATACCCTAATTTCTTCAAGCATTGTTATTATTGACTTGGCCCTAGCAGTGACAAACACAGAGTTGAAAGCCTCTGACATGTTTATCAAGGCATCACATAAAAGATATGTCTTGAAGAAAGCCTTGCTCTAATATCTAGCTGCCAGCTTTATCAAATGTTTGAAAGCAGTCTCATTGACAACTTTCATCTCCAGCATGGCTTTTTCAAATGCATTTGTATAACTAGCAATGGCGGCTTGCCACATTAAATCCTTGAGTTTAGAACCTGGGAATTTCTTCCTAAAATTACTGTATAGATGTCTCACACAGAACCTCTGATCCACTTCAGACAACAATTACCTTCATCATCAGCTTCCACATTAACTTCCACATTACCTTCATCCTTTGTGGTCCCCTCAACATTCTCCTTGTCTCCTACATTCTCTACATTCTCATCATTTATCTCTCCTTTATCCACTATGTCTCCTATCTCATTTTCAGTGCCACCAACAACTACATTGTAATCAAGTGACAGTATGGGTTTCTCAATAACATCTACATTGTAACCTCACCTCTTTCACCGTCTTAACGCCTCCAAATGATTTCTTCAAAATCTCTCAGGCATCTTTTGCAGATTCAACATCACTAACCTTTTCGAAATTGTCTGGGCTGACACATTGGTGAATTATAAAGAGAGCTTTTTAATTCTTCTTCTTTGATTCTCTATATGCAGCTTCTTCTTCTGAAGTGTCTTCATCAAGTGGTTCTAATCCATATTTCACAATATCCCAAAGACCTTGAAAACAAAATATAGCCTTCATCTATTTGCACCAATTCTCATAGTTATCACCTTTTAAAATTGGAAGCCTTGTTGGAAAATTTCTGTTAGCGTAATTCATCGTCATCGTGAATTTCTTCTTCTTCTTCCTCGATCGTTCTTGATCGTTCTTCCCTTGAATCACTTAACCAGAGCTCTTGATACCAGATGTTGGAAATCCACCAAAATCTATGATGAATTTCTATCAATCTTGATGAACAAGATTGTTATCACCATACAATGACAATGAAAAATATGAAAGAAAAAAAGAAGATAATGATTTTTCTGCAGAGTTTCTCTCTGTCCACAAACTGTGAAAAACTTTGTTATTCACTTGTAATTGCAAATTCTGTGAATACAACTTGATTGACTTGATTACAAAAATAGAGATTACTCCCTTTATTTATAGATTTAGGTTAGCTTGCTCCCTAAACAAAAACTCAAAACTATGAAAGTCCAAAATACCTATTTTGGAACTTAATCAAATCTATCTATTATAGATCTAAATCTAAAATTAAATTAAATATGTGTGTAGCCTACTTTGATCCACAAACTCTATGATTGAACAATGATTTCCATCGAACAACCTGTTTCGACAATCTCTAACCTTTGACATACATATTTTCAACACCGAAGAATTACAATTTAATAAAAAATACATTTCAAGTTGGTATATTCAAGTTTGCTTAGAACCCTGACACTCTAACTTTAATTCTACTTAAGGAGAAAGTGATGTGATACTTAACATTTAATCTTGTTGATATAAGTGCATGTTACAAACAAGTATCTGCTAGTGATTTAATTTGGAGTGAATCTTTTATTTATTTTCTTAAAGTGTTGATATACATTTAATATGATTTTGAATTAATCTTGTGTTATTATAGGTAAATAGAAAAGTCAAAAAAGAATTTTCAGTTCAATCAAGAAAGAGCGAAAGACTAATGACCTTCAAAACTCGTGCAATTGCTGGTCATGGAAAAGATGTTACTGATCCGGTTTTAATTGTAGAAGATGATGCTTAAAATGAAGCACTTGTATCAAACCTAAAATATGAGCCTTGGAACATGTGTCGATTCAATTAGAAAATTGAATACTTGGTCTTTCGCAATGATCATTTTAAGATGTTAAACTTGAATCAACATTTGTACAAGTTTGGATTGGATATTGTCTATGTTTTTTTTTATCATTCATAGCATCATTTTCTTCTTGTACACTTGTTTACCTTGGGTTTTGGTAAACAACCGCTGATCCTCCAAATGGTTACTTATTTGGTTACTCGCAGGATCGATCAGATTGATCCTATGGACATAGGTTGATTTTGAAGTTTGATTAATGTGGATAAGGCTTTAAGTAAAATGTTTCAAGTAAATTGCATAAAGGAAAGGCTTGGTAAAATAAATAAGGCTTTAAAGTAAAGGTTCGACAGGAATCTTAAAGGAGAAAAGCATGTAAAATACTGGAAAAGTAAATGACTTTTAATTGATAAAATTGGTGTTTCACACATACATTTCTCAACAATTCTTTCGCTCACACTGGGTACTTGAATCTAAATGAGTGACTATGTATTTATTGTGAACACCCGCGAGAAACTACACGTCTACTCCTATTTATACAAAAACATTCCAAGTAACCGTCGGGCAGTTACACTGCTTCGAGATTAAGCCACTTGGCACGTTCTCCATGCTCGACACTCCAGATCCTTGCACGTTTGCACGTAGTAACTGCTGGAAACCGTTTTCCCTCCAAAGCTTTGAATTTCAAACTGCTCCACTCTGGACCGTCGAACACTTTCATCAATAGACGTCTTCGACGAAAACTCCTTCGACGTCGAAGGCAATCAGCCTTCTTCCTTGGAAGAAATCTTCTAAGTATTTTGCCATCTTTCGACGGGCACTTCGACAGGCTTAACCAGTCGAAAGCATCTTTCAGCTTTCAATGGCTGCCATCAATCAAAACAAAGGTGTCGAATTTAGGAGCCAACAAATTGCCCCCCAAGAATGCCTTATTTCGACTCTGAAAGAAAAAGGCATTCTTTGAAAACACCATTCGACACCTGTTTTTCCACGCTTAGTCACAAGTTAACTTGTGCACTTTTTGTTGCTTTTTACCAACTATTGGCAATCCCAAGAAACCATCATTGATTTGATCCTAGGACGTCACTTTCAGTACGGCGTGCAGTACCAAACGTCAGTTCAGAACTTGTCATTATGACAAACCCCAAAAACGAGGACGCACGCTGCGTCTCTCTGTTTCTGCAGAAACGGCCAAAACAACAGGATGCTGCCACGCGTCCCACTAATTCCTGCAGCATTAAATGACATTTAATGTCCTCGTTATTGGGAATTTCTCCCACTACTATAAATAGTAGTGAATATCCCATTGTGGGACTTTTCACGCACACTAGCCCTCAAACTCCCTTGCTTTCATACAAAACTTGCTCTCTTTGCAGAAAAATTCTTCCTTTTTCACTTCATCTTCATCCTCAACAATGGCCTCTGCTTCTACTGCCCCCAAGACTAACGCAACAACTGAGCAACTTGTTAAACCCAAGGTCTTTGTTACTGCTCCGGTAGTGAACTCTACAGGGAAACGAAGGGTCCCTGAACCTTCTGACATCTCCGTTCGCGATGCTTATTCGCGTCACTTGATGATTCCGGTTGGATACTCCAACCAAATCTTCGCAATGTCTGGACCCATGAACCCAAGCATCTCTGAAGCTCTGAAGATCAAGAGCTATTTCCCCATCGTCGAGAAACTCAAGCCAGTAGCATGCGCCAAGAAGGACGCAGAAGACAACGAAGACCCTACACACGAGAAGATCGACCTTCGTTTCTTCAACAAAAGTGTTAGAGTCTTCAGGTCTTGCCCTAATCTGACCTCTGACTATGTTGCTTGGCTAACAAAATTGGA